TAATAGAATCTTATTCTCAAATGCATTCTTCAATTTTACTTGCATTTTTAAGCATCTTCAAAACTAAGTCCTAAAAAATAGCAATAATGGTGTAAGATAAATATAATTAAAACCTTAATTAATGGAATACGCCTTCACTATCATCTTAATCAAGGTTTAATTGATATTAACAAAATTTATTTGCCTCTTATATTATAATTGAAAGATTGCAAGTAATTCTCTAATGAATAACTTATAATATGTGCAAACAATTAAATTTCGACCAATCTTTATTTTCAAGGATTAAATTTATTAGATGATCATTAAATTGAATAACTAATAATCTAAGTTCAAAAAAAGAATATAGATTTCTATCAATTTCCATTACCATTTACTATTGTCATAGATTAAGACTTAGTTAATAGAGTGGGAACTTAGCTCAGACATATAGAAAAGCATCCCTCATGAGGGTCCATAATTACAAAAACACTAGCAAGGCATAAATAAATAAATAAATAAATAAATAAAATAGGACACATTAAGGGTGGATACCAAGTGTTAGATTGGGTCATTACTAAAATTTTTAGTAAGGCTTATGAGGACATGATTTAAAGGGCCTCGTATGACACATATTCAAAAATAAATTATAATATTAATGTTTAACAATATAATCATAAAAAATGCCCACAAATGTTTTATAATATATGAATCCCAAGAGGGTAAGTGGTAAATAGGTTCTTTACTTATCTAAATTTTTTTATAGGACACGCCAACTTATAAACACTACAAGTCATCTAGTGCTAGTTAATTTTCACTAAAAAATCTCAGGATAAGTTGATATATATGAACTATAATATAAATAGTATGCATGGTCTTCATTAATCTAAAAGTCCCAAGGGGGCATGCATACTTAAATGAATTAAAAGGCACATAATACTAGAAAAAGATTGACACAAGAAATTTCTTATAATGGCTTATCATTAAAGAAACCATGTAAGAATATAATGATTATATAAAAAAATAATGTCAAACTTCATCAATCAATAGATTGGATTTACTTTATTTTATTTAGGCAGAAACACCCTTCTATTTAATAACTTAAAACTCTAGCATCAATGATCTAGACTTATATTACTTAAAAAAACTTATCATCATTTAATCGTCTTTGCCTAATCCCCATCACCCAAATATTATTGTTTGACTGTCATCTTCTATGAAATTCACTTTCTTCAATTAAACAAAATAGTTGATATTTGTAATCTCAAACTATATAGTGAATTATTTTGTCTAGGCTACGCCTTTTTTTTTTTTTTTTTTGAGTTTTCATGTAAAAATTTTGGTGTCCCTTATGTACTTTTCAATTATTTATTTGTGTGTGAAAGAATTGTGTAAAATTAGGAAAACATTTTTCTTTACTACCACAATTTTCTATAATACAATAAATTTATTATCAAAATTAAAAAAATTTATAAGTTAAATAAAATTTATAAATGATCCAAATAAGTGATACTACATTATAAAAATTTTCAAAGAATAATGCTTCTAATAATGTAAAACCATTTTATTGCCATGGGTTGCAAATTATGAATATAATATTAGTACTTATATGCACAATACATGAGATGATGTTGGTTATTAAATAATAACAATATTTTATGATCTATAATATAAATATAATGCTAAATAAAATAAATCAAAATAGAAGTTTTTTTTTTCTAAGAGCTTATTATTGATCCTAATTTTTATGATCTAATGATTTAAGAAAATAAAAATAATCCAAATCATGAACTAATTACATGTTTGTTGTTATATTCTAAATGGCTACTAAAATAATGGATTTGCTTGCTACTATTTTGAATGTAACGACTAAAATAATGGATTTGATAACTCAAATTTTGAATATGAATTCCAAGTTTGAGCATTTTTAGACTTGGAGGATATTCATTCATGATCTTTAACACTTTGTGGAGGAGGTGGAGAAAATTTTGTCAAAGATTATATATCTTTTTTAAATTCCTAAAAAAAATTGTGTTAATGTGGAGATTGCTGAGTTTGTGACCCAAATTTTGTGGATCCCGCTTGTCTCATATGAAAATTATGAGCACACAGATTGAAGCTTTAGAAGGAAATAAAAACTAAGAGCACATGGACTGAAGGCTTCTACAGTTTGTTCAACCTTATAATAGCCTTTTAGATTATAATATGTGTGCTCTTGCTTTAATATCTTCTTTTAATTATTTTTTTAATGGGTCTTCATAAAAGAATGTGTAATTTGATGCAATATTATTCACCTTGTTATTGTGTTATTTTGTCGGTCATATTGAATTCCCATATCTTATCATTTTATATTTATTGAGTTTATTTTTTATGAACTGGCCCTATAGATTTTATAAATTTGAAATAACAATTTGAGAATTCAAAATAGGATAGCTTTTAAATATTTGAAGAAAGATTAAAGTTATAAGGTCATGTGGTTGATTATTTAGCAATTTATATAATCTCTTAGATTAATTGTTGCAATGGTTAAAGTTAAAATATTAATTGAATGTCATCAATTTTTAGATGCAATTTTAAAAGAATAAATATTAGGGGCATGTACATACCTACCGCCCAATTCTTATGTATTTGCATATCTAACACCTAAGCTTTTCTACATTTAACCTCCTAAACCTTTCATATCATATCAGAAACATCACCATTTGAACTTTTAAAAAGTGAAATACACCTTCTCATTCATATGTATGGCGGTATGTCCGTAAAAAGTGAAGTTTAGGTATTAGATATGTAAAAATATGTAAATACATAAGAATTGAGTGATATGTATGTAAATATTCCTAGGTATTACTACAAATATGTTCAATTTAATTGAATTAATGTGAAAATTTTCAACTGAGCCAGTCATGTTGAATTGCTGTCAATATCTTCCAAAATCTGATATAATTTAACACAGATGAAGCAAAGCTATTAACATAATTATTGGAGCTATGACAGTGATTTATTCGTCTGTTTCAATGGATTGCAGTGCTTCCTGGACTTATTGGCCAACATGGGGGCATATTTTGTCATAGATCCTCTCATGGGAGATACTAAAATCTATGAATATGACAAACTAAAATCTATGAATATGACAAAACAGCAGGAAAAACAATTAATATTTGGTTAATTATCTCTAAACAAATTTCAGTTGTATACATGCATTCTCCTTATGATTGAAGAAAGCATCGATATGATAGTGTGGAATTGAATTTTGAAATATTTCTTACCATGGTTTAAGCAAAGGAAGCTTCGAGGAATTGAAGTTAATATAGAGAGACATATGGTGGCCTACTAAGTCATTATCATGAATAAGAGAGGGAGCATCAACCTTGATAAGGATGATGGGCATCAATTTTTTTAGTGATAATAAGTGTTGATATTGTTAGAGATCAATGACGGAGCTTAGTATTTTGTAAGACATTGGGGTTCAATGTTGATGTAAATTGTACGCACCAAAATTTTTGGTGATTACGAGCATCGGAGACGATGGGGCCGATCTTATTGATAATGACATATATTAATCATAGTTAATATATGATTAATATATAATGACATATTGTGACTCAAAATACTTAAGATTCACAAAATACATATATAATGACATATAATTCCTCTTGTCATAATGCTTATTGTGACTCAAAATACTTAAGATTCACAGAGTTTGATTCCTTTAATTATCTTTAAAAATTTTCAATTATGTTTAAAATTGCATTAAGAAATTCTTGATATTATTGAAGTTTTATCTAAATACTTATTTAGAATATAAGCTTATTGCATATGAAGTCATAAATGATTCTTGAGTTGAGTTCAAGTGTTTTAAATGGAATATGTAGATGTTTTCAGATCAAAAAATTATATCAAGATTTATGCTGAGCTATTAATAAAAATAGTAGTCTTGAATATTTATATTTTTTAACATAATTACCTACATTGATGCTTAACATATGTATATTGTTGAAACAAATTCTCGTAGAGATATCGTAGTTCATAGATTAAGCATTTGACATGTTGAGATGTTCTTTTAGTTTTCTTAAAGTAATTTTTATTATTTGATAAATATTTATTTTTTTCATATTTGTGTACTAAAGGTTATAATAGATTTTGAGTTGTCTACCGAGCTGTGATTACTCGCCCTTATTTTATCCATGTGTAACATAGGCAATGCTTCAACATGAATTAGCATCTTGGGGGGGAGGTGTTAGCATTAATTTACACAATGATAATATAGTAAACCACAAAATCATAAGCATGCCACCTCTACTTATCAAATTAATCCCCATCACTCATTCATAACTCTACACTTAAATTCAATGTGTTCATGCACAACAAATTTTATATTGCCACAATAAACTATTGTGAAACTTGTTATAAATACAACAACTATATAGAAATACAAATAAGTGGAAAATACATATTCTCCAAATGAAATTAAGCTTCACTAATTTAATTTAGAGTAAGAAAATATGCAAAATATTAAGCATAAAAAAAATTAGATTTTAATATCCAGTAAATCTTACATAAATTATGAATTTTAACGCCACACCTACTAAGAACTAAATAAACTCAATTGCATTCATTTACAGCCCTACAGTATTCGTTAAACACCTGACAGAGAACTCAACAGGACAATCGCCTGATTTGCTGCCAAAAATTAAACTGCCTTGACAGTTTAAAACAGTCAATCTTTGTCCCATCCACCTAAAAAATTCTACCTTCCCTACTTTGAATCAAAATAATTAGGTAGCATTTCAACCTCTGTTTGCCATTACTTCTCACTGTCAATCCCTGAGATTACTTCGGACTTAATCATGGCTGTCTTCTTTTCGCTATTTGCATAGGTGAAATGTCTTCTTCCTCTCGCTGCTGCTATATATAGATAAGCAAGAGAGCCATTGCTTATTGCATACTTATTTCATAAGAGAAGAGTGGTTGGGTTGAAGTCAATGAAGAGAAAGGCTGCTGATTAAATTAATATGTGAAGAAAGATGTCTAATTCTATCAGTTATATCCTAGTTTTCCTCATCAATTCCTTGCTGTTCCCCTTCAGATTCATAGCCTCGCATGTTCTCAGGTAAAGACTGATTTTTTAAATTGTAGGTATAGTTGTCTGCAATATTTGTATAGCTTTAAGCATAACTATTCCTATTCTTCTTTTTGTAGTAAAATTGGTCTTGTTAGAGAAGATGATTTCAGTGTATCGGAATTGAATGAACCGATTTCTGTTAACAAAGTTGAAGAGAAAGATGGAAGCTTCTGCTTGAAGTTCCTGTATCAGATTTGTAATGATTATAAAGATAGTCCAGTCAAAGCAATGGAAGAGAATGAATCTTTACTGACTTCTTCAGATGTCCGCAAATATCAATTCTGGGCGGAGAAGGATTTTAATGGCGCCATGGAAGAGTCAAAAGCTCCGAACTTTCATGTTCAGGAATCTTTCATGGAATATTATAACTTCGATGGTGATAGTTTCTTGTCTGCTGTCCAATTTCAGAAGAAACAGTTCTCTGACGAGGAGAATTTCGATTATGTTTGTTCTGAAATCAGTTCAGTTGGTGAAAGAGAGTTTGGGCTGGAGTTCTCTGCTCTAGATTCTTATACTGAATCATCAAGCGAGGAAGGACATACAGTAAGTGATCTCACCATTGATTCAAATTTGTTTAGCCCTTTCTCAGATGGTTATTTTGGTGATTCTGAAAACGATGAAGGAATCAGAGAAACTTCAGTAAATAACAGAAATAAACTTGCAGAAGAGAAACATGAATTGTTCTTAAAAAGAAGTGAAGGAGAAGAAGAAAATGATGATGACAGACAAGTTGGTAAACAGAAGCATGTTGTTAACGCTGAGAAGAACATCAACAAGAAAACTTGTTTAAATGAAACTACTGCAAAAGTGGAAATCCAATCAAATAAACGAGAAGCCAGACAGATGCATGTCCAATTTGAAGAACAAATTAAAAATAAAGAAGCTTCTTTTATTAAGAAAGGCAATGCAAGCTTAGATATTTCTGGAGGAGCTTTCTCAGAACCCAAGCCTGAGACTTCAAACAGAGATGAAGTGAGAAATATAGAAGAGGATGTATCAAATAATGATTCAAGTAATTCGATCGATGTTTCTTATGAACAACAACATACCATTGATAATCAAGATACCGGACGACAAAAGCCAGCACTAGAAGAGGAAAAAGGCATAGAAACCATCATTTTGGATTTGGATGACGATGAATTCAATGAAATATGGAAGCACCAAGATCTTATCCTGCAACTTCAAATGGAACTCAAGAAAGTTAGAGCTATTGGTCTTCCTACCATATTGGAAGAGTCTGAAAGTCCAAGGGCTAATGAGGATTCAAAATCATTTAAGATTGATGAGAAGTTATTTCACGAGGGCCCTGTGGATGATGAGCTCCACAAGCTGTACAGGTGCTATAGGGAGGGGATGAGGAAGTTAGATATTTTGAATTATCAGAAAATATATGCTACAGGTAAGCTCAGTTCATTCCCTTATCTTCAATCATTTTCCAGTCCCCAAGCTCTTAAAATACTGCTTTATAATCATTTTTTTGCAGGCTTTCTTCAACAGAAGGATCCTCTTAAATCAAATAAAACTCAGAAGCCTATGCTCTCAACAATCATGTCTCATCTGTCCCAAAGCTTCTTACCTTTCAGCAAGAAGAAATCAAACTGTGATACATCAGAGAAGTATATTAAGGAGCTGCGATGCGATCTAGAAACAGTTTATGTAGGACAGATTTGTCTCTCCTGGGAATTCCTTAGGTGGCAGTATGAAAAGCTTCATAAGCTAACATATTCTGATCCTTTCATAAGCCATCAGTACAATAAAGTAGCAGCAGAATTCCAACAATTTATAGTTACATTACAAAGATTTGTAGAGAATGAAATGTTTCAAGGACCAAGGCTTGCAAATTATGTCAAACAACGATGTCTTCTTCGAAATCTTTTGCAGTTGCCAGTCTTCAAAGGTGAGCTAAACATACCTGTTCAAGTTGAATTTGTTTGAAGATTCAACTCCTCTTTCAACCTAAAGTTGGATGTGGCATCTACATGTTTTCTATTTTGATAAAATTTGTTAATAATTATAAGGCATTTGAATTTGCAGAGGACAGCCTGAAGGATAAATTGGAGAAGGGGAAAGAAGAGGATGTGATCAATAGCGAAATGCTAGAAGATATTATGCAAGAAGCAATGGGAGTTTTTGGGGAATTTGTGAAGGCTGAGAAGTATGAAACCACAAGATTCTTAAAAGGTTTATTTGAGAATCATGTGGAGCTTCAGGTTCCATCAGACTATGAGCTCATGGTTGATATACAAGCATGTTTGAAGAATGTAATTCTATGCCCTTATTTCAAATTGATATAATGTTTCATTACTAACATACATCTTGGTTATGCAAAAATATCATGAAATGATTTTTATTTCAGCAGGGGCGGAACCAAGTTATGCCCAGATGGGCAATTGCCAACCCCCTCATCCCGGAATTTGTGATTTCTCTTTATAAATTAATATTTTTTTCATGTAATTTGGATAATTTAATATGCCTCTTGATATATTTGCTTTGCTTAGTGCTTAAAAAAACTAAGCATGTGGTGATTTTGGCCACCCAAAAATATAATGTCGATTCCACCCCTGTATTTCAGTAAGCTAGAGAAAACATTTTTTTAATGTACAACAATTATATTTTTGTATAGTTTTTCACAATAACTATAAGATGGTGCATTCCTTTTGTTATGCATCTATTAATTTAATTCTTTTTTTGAACTACAGAAGAAGAAGAAATTGAAGAACCTTATGAACGCAAGTAATTGTATAGTTAAGATGCTAAAAAGGAGACAAGAAGGTAGATCAAACCAAGACCTCTTCTTCACTGAAGTAGACTTGCAAATAGTTTCAAGAGTCTTAAAAATGTCAAGGATAACAAGTGATCAGCTAATTTGGTGTCAGAAGAAGTTGAACAAGATAACATTTTCAGGCAAAAAAGTTCACAGGGAGTCCTCATTTTTACAGTTCCCCTGTTAGATTGCAAGGAGATGAACATCTTTTTTGCATGTTTGGTTTTTGTACCCTTTTTTGGTCTGTCATCTTTACTTGTGAATAAAAACTCTATATTTCAAATTTATTGCATAAGGATAAATTGTTGTATTCATTCTAGCACCAAAAAATCTTAATTTTAACTTTTTGCACTATAATTTTGGTTTTTATTTACATTTTTTCAATGCTTAAGTTCATGAAAATTACATAGATCCTTAACATATTTTTCTACTAAGCTACTTTACTAATCATTGATGGCCTCTTTCATCATAACGACACCACTGGTCTTATTCGAGTTGGTTGGATTTGATGTCGTTATGAGGTCGCAGGTTTGTTTTCCGTTATGTTTTCCTCTTTCCGAATAATTCTCCATCTTATGTGTAGGTGTAGGTGAACTAAGAGATGAGAAATCAGAGGACTAGGGCAGGTAACATCAGAAATAAACAAAAGAAATGTATGAGAAACCTTCATAAAGTGAATTTTTGTATTGATAGCTCTAAAGCATATGTTCAGAATACTTTAAAGACACAATTGTGAAGGAGACCTTCGGAAAGCTAATAACCAGAGAATTCAAGTTGATAGACCTGCTCTAGAGTTTGAATCCTCCTATAAGAACAAGCCTCTATAGTTAATTTCATCTTAAGTAGTCCAGACAACTTAAGAAAACTCTCAATTAAGGTTATAATTTGTTTTTAGAAAAGTCAAGTGTCGTTGTCAAGGAAATGAATGTCAAAGTCATATCCTAAGGATAGTGGATTTCTAAAGATTTTGAACCATCCTAAAGTTTTATTTTGTTGTTGATGGTTTAGTTAAGGCTCATCCTTTTACTCTGAATTTTAAATGTTCGAGCCCTACAAAACAGAGTTAACACATTCTAATAACATGCAAAGTAAATCTAGGACGACACCTTACTTCCTTGTCTTCAGCAGTCCCGCAAAACAATGTTAGCATAAAACATGTAGAAAGAGAAGACTACTCCAATACTTCGTTAATGTTGGGTTAGTATCGATCGATCGACATCTACTCGAGTATATTGTGGTGCCTTGACAGTCTTAGAATGCATTCTTTCGACAAATCTCTAAGGATAAGCCCCCAGAGAGATTCAAGTTCTCAACACTTGAGTCCAGCAATGGAAGGACTGATCTGACCCACGACATAGTCTGATTTGAGTTTATTATGTGTTTGCTAAGGATCACTGATGCACTGAAATATCGTCTCTTCTTTACCACGTTGAGGGAATCGACTCTCAAGTGGTTCAATAGATTTCCATTTGGAGTAATCACATCGTTCATTAATTTTAAATGAATGTTTGTGGTGCAGTTTGTCGGCACCCAAAAGCCTCAGAAAAACTCACAAATTCAGCAGGGACAAAGCGATAGTCTTCATTCATTCATCACAAGCTTCAAGAAGATTTTGGAAATGCGAGACCTGAAACCCACGACAACCTATGCTGCCCTAGGCAAGGGGTGAAGGAAAGACCTTTTTAATATGCAATAGGTTTGTACCAACTAAAGATATTATCCAAGTTGTTGGAGCTGACCAACAACCACATATCAGCTGAGGGGCCAACAACAACATATCGGTTAAGGAGTTTAAGTCCAACCACGATTCCTCTAAATTAGAGTTCTTCACCCTTGCTCGCAAAAGAGAGCCCTATAAGGATAACGATGGAGGCCAAGACATGATTCATATCCTTTTTCCTGTCTTGGCTACGAATATGTGTTGACACAAATCTTTGATGTCACATATAAAAGGTGGATTATGATCAGCTTCCCGTCATTAATGGCATCCAATTGGACCTTCTAGTACACACCTAGAGCATTGAATTAGAATGTTCTGCCCTACCTAAAAGAATTCGTCGTTAGACGATGTGAATTTTGAAGTGGGGCATATAATGATCATTTTGATGTTTTAAAATCATTTCCCATCCATTCAGAACCTCTCGTGGCTAAAGGAATGCTTCAAACTCCCCACACATTTTCTAGATAAAATCTGGGTGTAGGGCACTGCACTCGCGCCATGGTTTAAGCTGCCCGTTGGTGCGAAAGTCCTGGTAAAAGGACCACAAAAGATTCATTTTTGGAGTTATGCGACCATATTTCAGTCATAATTGCTCTCTCATACTTTACGAATAGAAAAAATGCTTCGCCTGACGTTTCCGGTGAAATTTGTGGTTTAGACTGACTCTTTTGCACAGGTGTCTGGAACACTCGTTGACGTTAAAACCTTTGATAAAAGGCCATTAAAAATTCTAATTTTTAGAGTTATGGGACAAAATTTCAGTCATATACGATCTCCCATAGCTTACGGATAAAAAAAAACACCTTCACGGACATTTTTCTACATGAATCGAGGCTCATCGGACCAGTTTGACAACCCTACATAGGACCCTGACGACCCAACACTAGACTCTAGCACCCCAACGCTAGGTCCTCGCGCATAAGCGCTCATAGCAACCTAAAAATTGTCTTAAAATCGAGCCAGCAGTAACCCAAAGCCTAGGCACTAGTCATCGAGATGCTCGGGATACTGATGGATGTTGCATATCATCTCCTAAACGTATACATAGTGGCCTAACCAATGAAGCATAAGAAGAGAACATCAATCGTTATTGTGGGCTCTGAAATTTTGAAAAGGCACCGCGGACTTACATCGAGAGCTTAATGGTGCGTTAAATATTTTGTTTGAATTTTCACAAGGCAGATGAGATGGTAGATAAGACACAACCTAGAGATTTCATTCTCATTTTGTGAGAACTTTAAGATCCAGGGTTTGAGGTTTTACATAGGCGCAAACCCTTATGGTTAAGAACTCCTCTCACAATGAGAGAACATTTTCAATTAAGGCTAATCATTAGGCGTTGAGTGTTCAAACTTAGCATATAGCAGCAATAAATTTGAGAATTTAAATTATAAAAACCATCATTATGAGCTCAAAATGGATGGTCGAGGAAACGACAAAGAACCTGGTCAAGATCCCATGGTTCCGTCATCCCGGGTTATCATGGTCCCCTGTCTACTTTGTCAGTGGAGGTAATCGACCCACCTGACTGAAGAATCCTTGTCAGCAACCATAGGTTGCTTTGTCCAATGTGACCTTGTAGAATCAGAGTGAATGTTTGTCTACGGGGACTAATTTAAATCGACCTTAGCTTATAGAGGTCATTCTGCCCTATCAAATATATTATATGATTCAACACTCAGAAGGGCAGATTGTCTTTAGAGAACATACGGGCTACAACCGTGACTGTAATATAATGTGGCTATCTGGCGGCAAACCACCTGGTCAAAGGGCTCCGTTGTAATCACTTTTTTATGGTGTCATGTGAAGGCAAATCATGAGGACGGAGGACTCAGACCACATCCTTACTGGGATAGAATTGTTTTCAACATGAATTTAGTAGTATACTTGATATGATATTGACTCTTTGTGATCTCGAGTCAGCATTAGATTTGTTTACCTCAACAAAAGGTTACGGAGGGTGGATGTATTTTTGCTTTAAGTATTAAGTGGTAAATTTTTATTCAAATATTATATTATTATTTTTTATGATTTAAAATACATTAATTTTTTTATTTTATGAAATAGACCTTTCCGGATGAAATTCACTACCAACAGGATCATCATTGTAGATTGATCTTCTTGCACATTGTTGACTCTGTCCCACTTACAAAGGATCGGGTTCCAAGTTTATATTACTTGAACATATTTAAATTCATTTGAAACTTAATTTTGGAAATAGACCCCTTTGTTTAAAATCTTCAGTCAACCCAACCATCATTGGGGAATGATTATCTTTGAACCATGTCGACTCTATCCTGCTTCCATAGGATTAGGTTCAATAACTGAAATAATTAAATTCAAAATAGACTTTGAGATATAATTTTAAAATAGAACATTTCAGTTGAAATGTTCTATCAACTCGATCATTGTTGGGGAATGATTATCTTTGAACCCTGTCAACTCTGCCCCGCTTATAGAGGATCAGGTTCAATAATTGAATTCAAAATAGACTTTGAGACATAATTTTAAAATACACCTCTCCAGTTGAAATATTCTATCAACTCAGTCATCATCGGGGAAAGATTGGAATTTATATACAATTAAGAGCATTAGCCCTGTCTCCTGTCCTCGTGAGGAGGATCAAACTGGCACAGCGAGGGCTTAATCTTGTCAACTCCGGTCCATGTAAAAAGGAGGCCAAAGTGGGGGCTCAATCTTGTCAACTTCAGTCCCTTTGGGAATAGGATCAGATTGGCTGAAATGTGGAACTTATGACCTCCCTCTATAAGCAAAGCGACCCATTGCCCCCATAACATTCTTAGACACATGAGCTTTGAGCTTTGAATATTTAGAGACACATTGGAGCACATACAGGCATTTTAATTTTATTCATTGAAATTGATTTTAAATAGCCTTGCATGTGTTTTGAGACATTTGGGTTTTAGCTTAAGCACACATTTTAACCCGCGCAACATTCTTGAATATTGAGATCAAGCATTTAGCACGTTAGTAGAAACACGTGCGGGTATTTCATATTTGTTGCCTTGAGATCATTAAATAGTTTGATTGTTCTTTAGGGAAATTTGAACTTACGTGTTTGCTTAACTCACGCAATAGTCTTGGACCTTGTGATCAAACGTTCAGTAGGTTGGTTGGAGCACATGCAAATGTTTAAGTTTGTTAGCTTGAATTAACTTTTAGGGAAACTTTATTATTATTTGCACGGATGCTTGTATTTTTTGGATCACCGATCCCATGGCGAACAAGGCATTCTAGACTTTGATTGCATATTTGAATATATGTTTCTCTTTTATACTTAGCTCCCATTTGAGAGTTCGAGTGGATTCAATTTACATATTCTTATATGACTGACATTCTGATGAAAATCCAACAACATTTCGGCAGCTTCCCAGCGCGTCCCCCATTTGGGGGCTGCATCGGGCTCCACGCGAAGAAAGACGTGCATGGTCAGTGCAGTGAGACACCGAAGCCAAATTTTTGAAACACACAACGCCAAGAAAGGCGTTCATGAGGTACATGCACGCAACACCTCACACGCAAGTATTTCCCTATCGCATCGTGCATGTCACCTATGCGTTTTTCTAGTAATGCTAAGAAAAACATGCACGAGTTCGACTTGCGTCAAAAGGCTTTAGAGGTAAAGAGATACCACCTTTTATACCTCATAGATCATTGACGGTGGAGAGATAAACCCGCACTAATCGCTGGATACAATTTTCTCTCCATCTCTTCGAATTAGTATCATTTAACAGCAAATTTTGTGAAGAATTTAATAGAAATATAAACTCAACTATCGAATTACAAAAGAAGACGTTCAATATTAATAGACCCGTTAAACATGAACTTTACCCCTGTTTTCTGTTTTACATTGATCCGAATTAAATCTCTGAGGTGTTGGGTGCAGAAGATTAGGATCGAAAGGGGAAGTCTTGGCGTAAGGGCAAGTCGCCGGCAAAAGGAGGTGATGCGAGGTTTACAGGTGATCTCGTTCCGGTGAGGGAGCAGGGAAAAATAGGAGAGGAGAGCAGCGGGTAGGATCTGGTGAGGACTGTCGGTCCGCAGAATCAAGAGAGAAAGAATGCGAGAGGAGGAGAGGAAGTTAGGTGGGAGCTTAGGGTGTTGCGGCGGCTAGGAGGAGCAACCCGGCGGCAAGGAAGGGGGAGAGCAGGCCGTGAGGAACGGTGAGAGAGGGGGCTGCGGGAAGAAAGGAGAGGCGGCGGTGGCTTCACCGGCGGCCAGGGAGAAGCTGCGATTTTCTTTTTTGGGAGGAGGGATTCGCGTGAGAAAGGGAAGAGGACCGAGCCGAACGCGTTACTCACAACCTCTCTCCTACGACACGGATCCCTCTTGGGTTCTTGGGGCTGGGAATTTCAGCTCAGGTGTGGCAGAGAAGTCAAGATGTCACATGAATTTTAGTTTTTCTGAGAAATAGCAGTTTATGTTGGCTCAACTTAATGAAGATGAGCTTGATTGAGTAGGTTCTCTGTCAAGGAAATCTCTATGATAATGAGGAGATTTATTGTTGCCTTTGACTCTTATTTGTGGATTATCAAAACTGTTTAATGTGCAAGTTGAAGTCTTTCTCTTGTCAGTCTCGTATTGAGAAAAGTGGAGATGCAAATTAAAGTCTTTCTCTTGTCAGTCTCATACTGAGAAAAGTAGAGTAGAGCATGACATCAATAGAACTCTCATTGTCGATCAGGATCCTCATTACGTTGTAGTAGGGTTCGCTGATTCCTGCGCTAATGACGACAATGCCTTAGTAGGGGACGTAGACTCCTTCCAAATAGGAATTATCAAACGTGAAAGGCTAGAGGTGCAATTTCTTTTGCCCCCATGTTGTTGCTTTTGTGTATGTAGCACCCATTGGAAGCATTATCAATACAATTAGTTTGTTTTGCATAAATCGACCAAGAGATCCCATCGAATCAACCTTTCAATCTCTTCCTTGAGCTGCTTACATACCTCAGTGGTGTAGTCACGACTTTGAAGAAAATTAGATGTATTGTTCCTGGTCCCCAAGGGTGGGGCCACTTAATAGTTTTCTCTTTTGTGATGTCAATCAGGACATTAACACACATGTGTTGAGTAGTATATACTCTTTCTTTAGTCAATGCTCACTTCGCTGACCAACAGATTGGGGAGTGAGGTCACAATTTATCTGTTGTTCGAACTTTTTCTGTTGCAAAGATTGATTATTATATTCGGTGTTACTTATTTGCATTTCCCCAAATTGTTCAAAATGCTCCTTATATGCACGAATGACCTCGTCCGTGGTGATTTGGGTTTCAACAAAGTGGACAATGTCAACATAAGAACGAACTGTCTTCTGCATCAATGATGAGAAGAAGGACCCTAGGCGGTGCCCCTCATGGAAGACACTCTCAATAACTCCAAATCCACTCCCAGAATCTAACGGGCTTCAAAGAAATATTTGCAAAAGTAGTCCTTGAGCGACTCTCCTTCACTTTGATGAATTCACGAGAGATGGGATGAATCATTGATGATCCATCGGTTTGCTATGAACTGCTCCATGAATAGTCTGACAAGCTCGTTAAAGGTGTTTACAATGCCCATTGACAGAGAGTAGAACCAGATGCAAGCTTGTTCTTTAAGAGTGGTCTGACACACTTGACACATAAGCACATCAGAGGCACGCTGAATGTGCATGACGGTTTGATGGTGAGTAGTAAGCTCATAGAGGCCAGTTATCCCTTTGTAAGTGTCGATGTTCGGAAGCTTGAAGCTTAATGGGCTGGAGTATTGGAGGACTGCATCCGTTAAGGGAGAAGATTCTTGGACGTTAAGGTGAGTGGTAAAACCGATCCTTTTTCTCTAGGGGGAACTCTTCTCAGATGAGGCGTCATAGCTAGTTCATCATCTAGAATGACAGCAAGCCATGACAATGTCAAGTGAGCTGCGCGAGATGAATGAGTGGAACTTGTGGTATTTAAGAGTCCAACATCATGACCTGACAGAAGATGTGTTCCTTCTTGGGGAGGGGGTCGGTACGAGTTCTTCTGAGCGCTGTGTTTCCCGCAGATTGCTGTGTTAGCAGTAACATACTTCATCCAATGGTGTCGAGAACAATTATTGAGCCCCACGTAGGAGCTGTAAGATCTCCAGTTAACACTCCTCCATTCTGCATATTCGGTCTTTCAGAGAAGGACCTACCACGCCTTCATCAACAAGATAATGTATCTCACGATGGGAAGATGAGGAGGCATGACACTCTTAGCTTCATGTATGTCCCCTAGAATGATGGGTGTTGAAGCGGGATGCTCCTTCGTCAAGAATATTGTGCATAGTGGTCATGTAGTAAGCCTCACAAGTCACAATTACTTCAGTGGTGGGATTAAAGTTCCAACAAACGTCGCTAAACTAATGCGTGCTAAAAAACTTACGACAATAATGTAGCAGTTTATCGTCTTAGCATGGTACAGAGATTCAACACACACTCAGATAAAAGAAAAACAACAGTAGAGACACCATCAGTTTTTAAGTGAAAAACTCATAAAAGGGAAAAACCCAGTGGACCTGACCAAACTAAGGAAATCGACTATAAACTTGTGATTACAATTTCAGTCCCTCGCCCCACAGACGGGTAAGAGTTGAACACACTTTGGATTTACAACGTTGGTGCATTGATGAATTTGTTGTAAGAAGTGGACGGTGGTCGATGATGATCGATGATGATGAGTCGCGACCAACATAGGGTGGTTGACGATGATCGGCGGTAGTCGACGATGATCGGCGGTAGTCGACGATGACCAACGGATGGTGGTCGATGGCAGTCGACGGTGGTCGACGATAGTAGGAGCGGTGTTGGACTTCAACTTCCTCTCCTTGCTTCAAACTCTCTTCCTCAAGCCTTAAACTCTCATTTTCTTTTCTCTTGAGAGAGGTGAGACTCTATTTATACATTTACAGATGCAAATAATGCAAAAATATGTATCACTTTGATCGGACAGTATGAAAAACTTTTTTTTAATAATACAACATTTGATGGACATTTGAGTGTCTTAACGATGTTAAAATTGAGCAATCTTGGGTTTGTTGGATTTGTCTCACGGAGACACCCGATTCAACTGGAAACTCACTGAACTTAACATTCATCTGACATTTCAAATGTGTCTAGAAAAATTTCAAATGAGGTTTAATGACTTGATTGGGGCTAGATTTGATTCAGATTAAATCAATGCTGGTACCATTTGGGTCTATCTCGTCGAGCGGTCAGATTGACTGTAATTTTGTTGAAATCGGAGCTCTGGATGACTTTTTATTGAAATTCAAATATTTTTTTGCTCAAAAAGTTGTCTCGATATTCGTGTCAGATGATGATAAAGACTAGTTGGAGGCTTATCAAGAACCATCTACGCTCAGACTAATAACTGATTTGCATTTATATCCATAACATATATGAAAATCAAAATACTGATAATTAAATTATATCCATAACATATATGAAAATCAAAATACTGATAATTAAAACAAACATATATATATTTCCTTCACAATCTGTTAGCTTTGCTGTTAGCTGGCTTTACAATAAATATATACATCAATTCATAGCCATTTTTCTCCCACATGCAACTCAATAATCCATGCTAACAGTAATGCTAACAGACGAAGGTCACCAAAATAGCCTAAAACAGAAACACTTTTCAAGTATAACATTTATTGGTGGAATAACCCGTTGACATCTCACTGGGACACAGTGCAGAATCCCACAGCAGGTTCAGCTTCCAGTCATCAGAGGAATTTGTGAGGTTGAATGGAAAATTCATAGTCCTCAGATTTCCCCACTGATTATTTCCACCTGTGATGCAACTCAGACTCTTCTTAGAAATCATCTCCTCTTCATCTGTTACCAAGCTCCCATTTGCCTCTAATGGAAATGTAACAGTGAATCCATTAGTCTGGTGAGGCTGTTCAAAGTCTATACTTGGAGAAGATTTCTCCATATCCTGAAGTATGTTGGGGGATAAGTTCAGGAGCATGGAGGTCACATCTACTGATGGCTTGATAGGCATTGATGTTTCCGGCGGGGAGAACATGAAGCTTGTGGGCATTTCAGATGACTTGCAACTGCTCAGGTTTATGGACTTAAAGTTAGCAAAATCCAAGGAAGGATAAGTTACTGCACTGCCATGATGTTCTAATCCAGTACTGTTACATCCGAACTGGATCGCAGATCCAATTTCTGTGCTGCAGGAGGTGTTCTCTGATGCAAAGTGTGTCAGGTTCATAGCACGTGGAATAGAGAACTTATCTAAATCTGTAGATTCTGGCAGTGAAGATACCCAAGAGTGTGACAGCGCTCTTTGTGTTGAGGTGTTGGTTTTTTTGAAGATCCTGCAGATGGCCCATGATTCCTATTCATGACAAGCTATGATTAGTTTGTGCTCTGCGTTTTTTTTCTTATTAAAACTTGATCCAAATGAAGCTTATGAAGAGCGGCTTACATTGGCAGGGATGAAGTTCTTGTCAACAGGTCTTTTGGAGATTGATGGATCAGTAAGAGATGGAAGCCTGAACTCATGCATCATCCAATCAGTCTTCATCCCTTTGGCTGCTCTTCCCTTGTAAAAGACTAGAGATTTCTTCAACCCAATGCACTTAGTTCCTTCAGAGGAGTATATGGGCCTGTCGGTTCCTGTAGCTTTCCAGAATCCAGCTCCTGTGACTCTGTTAGGCCTCGCACTGTTGCGGTATTTTCTATCCCTGGGGCAGTAGAAATACCATTCCTTCTCTCCAGTTGTCGCCATCTCTGCTCACATGTTAATACCAGAACAATGAATCAATTTTATGTCAAAGAAAATAATTGTTTATGTAAGCTTTTACTGATGTTTTAATATTCATAATATGCAGCTTTTAGATTGCTGATCTTGCCTTTATGTTTGTTGGTTTCAAGCCTTTTCAGTATTATTATTTGATTATGGATCACTTTTGAACTTGTCTGATGACAGGGAGACACTAATAATAACACTCTAGAGAGCTTCAACATACTAACCATGTTTTGACAAGTTATGAAAACTTCAAAAAAAATGGAACTAAGCTAGATATAATTAAACAGAGAAGAAAATAAATTCTAAAAAAAAATATTAATTCATACAAACGACCACTCTACTAGAATATAGATGGATTAAAGCAAAGGAATTATTAATAACATGAAGAAAAAACTTAACTTGGAAGAAGCACTAACATGAAAGATCAATAAAAAAGATGAAAAAACTCCTGCTTTCTCACTTGCAAAAGTGAGAACACACGAAATTACTAGGAAAGATGAGGAAGTTATGATCTGTTTATTGATTATCTTTCCTCAGAAAACGTCTAAAACAAGTTTGTTGACCTTAATGAAAATAGAAATGAATGATGTTATGTAATTAAAAGTAACTTTTCTTCTAATAAGAATGAAAATGATTTGTGATGGCTTACTTGGGAGGTCCCAGGGGTCATATTTGTAGATATCTAGCTGCCTGATGAGCTCAATAGAAAGTGGCCTTTGCTGTATCTTTCTCCTCAGATAGAACCCTACTAACTCCTCATCCGTCGGATGAAACCGGAAACCCGGCAACATGATCTCATCTCCTTTATCCATATCACTCTTTTCCTCCATGGCTTCTACCAACTATGTTCTCCTCTGGAGAAACACTCAAACAAGTTCTAACTTCTTATTTCAGTCCAACAAATAGTACATACAGACTGCAAAAACCAACTTTTAAGAAAATACTCAAAAGATAACGATGGCTGAAAAACTAAGTAGAAGACTATTATTTGAGAGATTTAGGAAACCATTTTAGTGAAAAAATGGCTTCACGAGTACTTCTCTGTGAATGCTCAACTATTGCTCCTTATAAGGATGACGCCAAGGTGCCAGGGCAGAATAATTTATTTGATGAAAGGACTCTTGTGTGAATATTTTAATTAATGGAGATTGATCTCAAAAAGTCTACACGTTCATCTTCATATTGGGATTAGCATATCACTTTCATTTCACATATTATATTGTTCAAACCATAGAACAATTTTGAATGCAAACTAATATGAGGACAGCTTTTAGGTATGATGTTACCTTTTTTGAAAATTGCATGGCTATTGGTCACCTCATAATACTCTAATAAACTAAATTTAAGGTGTGTACATTCAATCCCAAAGGCCTGCAAATTCTTCTAATATTCTTATTAATTTCCTTAGGTTTATGCATGATATTTCTATCTATTACTTTAATATGTATTTTATTTTTCTAAGAAAAAATATAATTTTATAGCACTTGATCTATTCTTGTATACATGAACAAATATTATATGCGGACATTTGCACGTCTGGACATCTGCATGTTCACATGTCTGCATGTCCGGACAACGGCCCGATCATCCAGACATCTACACTTTTACACGTCCGTTCTAAGAAAAAATATAATTTTATAGCACTTGATCTCTTCTTGCATACACGAACAAATATTGTGTGCGGACATTTGCACGTCTGGACATCTACATGTTCAAATGTCTGCATGTACGAATAACGGCCCGGTCATCCAGACATCTAACGTCTACACGTTCAAACATCTGCATGTTCGGACAACGGCCCGGTGCGGCCATGCCGCTGTGCATTCACACGTGGCAACCATAGACATCTACTTCTTGGTTTATAATTTTAAATAATCTATGTTGATAGCATATTCCTACATATTTTGTTTTCTATAACGACTCTATTTCGCTGTAATTTTTTTATTTTTAAGATATTTTTTATGTCATAAAATTTTTTAAATGTAGTAGATGCAAATATATATATATATATAAAAGTAAATTAAGTCTATAATACCCGCCATAATGATCAAAATCATGATTTTTGCCTCAATAATTTAATGACTAATTGCACAGCGGACCCTAAATGACCCATTAAAAAGAGTCAAATTTCACAAAATTGGTGGGTCCATTGGAGCCATGTTTTCAAATGAAGGCATCAACAGTCAGCTCTATCTTTTTTCACACAAGGCTAGCAAAGATCATAGCAACTCCACTGGCAACTTTACCCTTGTAATCATGCTTATTTACTCTTCTAACCTGATTAATTAATGAACTAATTAAGGTGTAACCATGCATTATTAAGATAGGGATTGGACATGTCGAGGCTATAAAGTATAATATATTTAACCCATATTGCGTGTAAATTACTTCTTATTAATTATTTCAGAACCTTCATAATACTAATACTAATACTATTATTATTTAAAAAGCCACCAGTCCTTGTTGACAGCTCTTGGACTAATTCTACAATCATGTTTCAGGCGTCTGGGTCATGTTCTTCATTATTCTGTGTGGAGAATGACTGAAACCTGCCTGTAAATCATTTTCAAAATCACTGTTTGTGCATGAACTGAATATGTATAGATATAACTGCTATGTTACGTCTTCTCATTTAGTTTTATTTTATTTTTTTCCTGGAAGTATAATGACAGTGCATGATTAAAATGATGGGAGATGCTGGCTGGTTCTTATATTAGTTTACTTACAGTTGAATGGGATGGGGAAATCAGAGAGAAACTGCAGAATATTGTTGTTTAGGGTTTTGAAAATATTTATTTTCCTTTTTTTTTTAATTTTCTGGTAGAGTGAGCAACCAATATACTACAAATTTGAGTATGAGTGTAATTGAGCCGAGCTTGAGCGGTATCAGACTTGGCTCGTGTTTAAATTGCTTGTAAATATTGTGTTTGTGTTCGGCTGAATTCACATATGCTTGTGTGTATTCGACTCGAAATTGACCCGTTTAAATTAGTTAGAAAAATATATATATGGTGTTGGATTCAAATATGCGCGGGTCTTATGTAATAAAATGTGAAAAGTCATATGATCAAACGAGCTATAGTGATTTAAACTTATATATAAATATATGTAATATATTATTATTATTATTTCGAGTTAAAACGAGAGAACACGAACATGAACATATTTGATCATTCGATCACCGGGTCGTTAACACCAAATGTTTAACGAGCCGAGCACGAGTTGTTCGTGAATAACGTGCTCTTTTGAAAACCCTACATTCAAGCCCTTATTTTATGTTAACATTCAGAATTTAAGATAGGGATCAATGTAAGCCCTTTTATTTAATGAATAAGCCGAACATGAACATATTTTTGTTTGAAGATGTTCGGTTTGATCGTAGCTAAATAATATGTATATTTTATTATGCGTTTATATTTGAATGCATGCATAGATATATAGATTATCTATATTTAGATTCATGTTTATATGTTTATATTGATAAATATTTGTGTGAATGACATATTTATTCTATAAGAAGGAAGACCAACAAAATAAATAAATAAATAAATAAGGGAAAATAAAGTAAAAGTTCCATAAAAATAACATTAAACATTTTTAACTAATTTTTCCATTATATTAACATATCTTAATTGCTTCATCAGCAGTCAGCAGTAAAGTATAAACAATGCACATGATTTTGTTGCATTAATTGTTCTTTCTTTGTTGAATAAATAGCTGTATTTGATCAGAGAAGTTGTTGATAAGCTCCCATTCAAACCAAGGGTTTTTTCTCAGCTAAGTTTTTATTGAAGTTGTTTCATGAGTTATGATTTTTATTTTATTTTCTAAAATATAATTCTTAATATTAAATTGCAATAAGATTTTTTTTATTATTTACATAATGTCATTTTAGCTCAAAAATTATAAAAATATTGAATTAATCCCTCACTCCTTTATAAAAGAGCAGAAATAGAAGAAAATATTACATCAGGAGTCCTGATACATTTTTGTATCAAAACTCCAATCACTACCTGCCACGTATACAATTCAGACCTCTTAGTAAAAAAAATAAATAATTTAATACACATTGGGGTCAGACTGTACACGTGTCAGACAGTGATTAGAGTACTGATGCAAAATATAGCAGGACTCCTAGTATAATATTTTTTTTTTTCCGAAATAATCATCTCTTCAAAGAGTTTTAGGACTATGTTAGCTCATATTAAATAAGTCTAAGGATTAAACTGACACTTTTATAAACTCCCTGACTAAAATGGCTTCAAGCAGGGTCATTACCAGGTTTTGTTCAGAGCAGGCAATTGTTCCTTAGGAATTAGACATTCGATAATTTTACTCTAAAAATAATATTGGTTCCGCCCCTAGCCCCAAGGGACCATTTTGTTACCTTTCTTTGAATTCAAATCTCATAAATAAATTGAACTATTTTTTTTAAAATTAATTAGAAATTCGTTTACAAAGACGTGTCATGATCCAAATGTAACATTAGTAATTTATATTCCTTAAAAAAAAGAAAGTAAAAGCTTAATAATATAAAAATAAATAATCCGCATGCCATCAACATATAATAAGCCTTTTTTTTTATTTTAAGCACATTTGCGGTCACAAGGCACGACGACAGCTTTGTTTTCACGTTAATCATATCGATTTATTTTTTACTTACCTAATTTTCATGGAGGAGCATGTCATTGTCTAAATTATTTACCTTTACCAATTTGTATTTTTAATTTTAATTATTATTATTTTTTATTACTTCGATTTAATTAATCATTTAGATGTTATTGACTCATAACAGCCGCTCTGTAATTTCTTTTAGAATTTTCAATAATTTTAAGTATTTACTTATGATACGCCACTAATAAATTTTTATCGTTAGACACGAATCACGAGATAATTTTTTTGAGCATAAAACATTCAAATTTTGATTAACAGTCATCTAAAGCTCCGATTTTATTACTTATAGTCAAACTGATCAGCTCGATGAGAAGAACTCAATGATATCAAAATTAGTCCAATTCGAGTCAAATCAAACCATTAAATCATTATTGAAAGATTTCCAAACATATTTGGAAGGTCAAACAGATGTCAAATTTGACAAGCTTATAGTCGAATCGAACGTCTCGACAAAACATATCCAACGAGCTCAAGATCACTCAATTTTGACATCATTAAGACACCAAAATGTACATTAATCATCGTTTAATGGGGAGAAACTCTCTGAACTGTCTGATCAAAATGATTCATATTTCTGTATTAATTTCATCCAGAACACTATAAATAGAGCCCCCTCCCCTCTCATGAGGGGGGAGCTTAAGCTTACAGAGAGTCTGAGGCTTTGAGGAGAAGTTGCATGTCACTTCCTGAGCTGCCCACCACCCCGAAGAGCTCTTTTGGGAGGTGACAAGTGGTATTAGAGTAGATTATTGTCTGTCAGGTGTGTGTACTCTCCATGGTGTAGTGGGACCCTAGGTGGAGTCCATCCGTGATTGGGTGGAGGAGAATGTCACTTCCTGGGCCGCCCACCACCCCGAAGAGCTCTTTTGGGAGGTGATATGTAGCTCAGGATCACCGCCGACTGCCACCGACTTCTGTCGACTGTCGACCTCCGTCGACCACTGCTTATCGTTGTCGACCGCTGCCGACCACCGTTGACCTTCGCCAACTAGACCCCAACAGTTGACGCTGTAATCTGAAAAATATAGTTACACTTTCCTGTTTATAGGACAAGAGATTTTTATAATCATCAGTCAATAGTGAATTTTCACAACTGGGTCAGACACCGTGGATTTTCACTTTCCAGATTTTCCATGTAAAAACTTTTGGAGTCGTTATTTTTTGTTTCTTTTTCATCTATGTGTGTGTTGAATTCTTGTACAACGCTAAGACGATAATTCGTTACTCTACTGCCACGGATTTTCTAACACGCATCAACTTATAAACTATTTAAGAAAATACTTTTCAGTCTAGCAGGAAATAAAGGAAAGATGAAGGTAATCTAAATTTCAAAAGTATAAGAAATATTATGT